TATGTGGTTTCCCAGGCATCAGTGGACTGGAAGAGACTAAGAGAATGTGGCTAGAAGCTGCAGATAGAAACAAGTAAATCTCATAGCCTGACTTTCATGGAGAAGATTGAGAAAATTGTAACAAGCAACAGAGAGAACTCAGTGACATAGTTTGGAAAGACTACTGAGTAATGTCCTAATAACAATAGGTGCCATGTGTGTTGAGTGTCTAAGAGGTTAGTAGAAGAACACTGAGTCAAGACCCACGTTCTAGCCCTGTCCCAGCCAACAGCTGGCCCCATTCATTTACCTGGATGCCTTTCACTGAGGAACTGTCATGTGCTGGGCATTGTGCTGTGTGGAGGCTACAGTATGAGTGATATATGGTCAAGGAGGAGAGTCAGGTGTTTCGACAAATAACCACAACACGGTGCCTGAGCACCTGCAGTGTGCAGAATGATAGGCAGCCAAGGTGGTGGCCAAAGGCACAAATGACTGGCTGGGCCTCAGGAATAAGGAAGGGCCACACAGAGATGAAAACAGTTCAGTCACTTTTCACCCATCAGTGGGAGTGGCCAAGTATACAAGATGGACTGTGTCTTCCAATAACTACTAAGTTCCAAAAGTGACAAACAGCACAGAATGTGCAAGGACTCCGGACAGTTAGGCAGGCTTGACTAGTCGGCCAGAGAGGTCACCAGTGGAACTGTGTACCCCACAAAGGAATGCAGACCTTGTCTTACTGCCAAGAGGTGCATTTGAGAGTATTTAAGCAGGGAAATGACCTGAGGATAGTAACAGCTAATACAGAGTCCTTACCGTGGGTCAGGGGTAATAACATGTAAAATGGTTATGTTATAATCCCCATTTTACAGATGATGAAGCTGAGAGTAGGTAATTAAACTAGCTTAAACCTGAACAGAGCTGAGAATGGAACTTAGGGAGCTTAGCTCCAGAGTCCATGCTCTTAATATCAAAGTCATACAGCAGCACCTGTTACATCACTGTCTCTGGGAGATTCCTCCTGCTGCAGTGTGCAGGGTAGATTGGAGTAGCACAGACCAGAGATAGAGGGACTAGAAAATTCTGTGACGATGACAGGCAGAATGATAACAGTAGCAGGAAGGGAGCTGTCAGTGAGCAATGACAGGGAACTGAGGTGACCATAACAGATTATAAGATGACAGGCACAAGCCCAGCTTCCTTGTGTACTTTGTGTGTATTCCACCACCACCTCCCATGGCTATTGTCTGAATTTAAAGTATTATATTAGTTAGACTTTTGTTGTTCATTCGTTCATTCAGCAAATATCAGTTGAGTCTCTTCCTGGGGCCAGGCAGGTGCTGCGGGCAGAAAATGCCTGCCCTTGAGCTTTTACCCCAGTGTGGCTGGGAAGAGACAGTGCTGTGAGCAGACACACTGGGGAGGAGCAGAGGAGTGCTGGGGTGTTGCGGCTTTACAGGTATAAGGGTTGGCTTCACTGAGACAGTGACACTTGAGTAAAGAAGGAAAAGGGAGAACAGTCACATATCTGAGGGAAGGGCATTTCAGCAAGAGGGCACAGCAAGGGCGAAGGTCCTGGGACAGGGACATGCCTTTGCTCACTCAAGGAACAACACAAGGGAGAGCAGCTGGTGCTGTGTGAGAACAGAGGGGCTGCTAAGAGGCCAGCTGTGGGAGACCCCAGCACCGAGGCGCTGGTCCCCATTAGGCCACTGCTGTGACTTTGGCTTTCACATGGAGGGAAATAGGAAGCCCTCGGGGGTGTTAGATGATGAGTGACGTGATCTGACTCAAGTGGGAGGTAGTCCCTGTGACAGCTGAGTGCAGGATTGTGCTGAGCACAGACTGAAAGGAGGGCAATGACTACAGGAGGAGAGCGTTTGGGAGGCCAGGGTGGCACATGGGCCCCTGTTACAGTGGCGAGACTGGGCTGATGGAGGTGCTGGCCAAGAGAAGGGGTTGGATGCTGGGGATGTCTGGAGACTGCAGTGGACGGAATGTCAGGTGGTGAGGAAAAGTGAGTCAAGGAAGAGTTCAGCGTTTTCGTCCTGAGCGGCTGGAGAAATGAGGTCACTGCACCTGGAGACAGGGAAGGTGAAAGGGGAGCAAGTTCTGGGAGAAGCCTAGGGGGTTGTTTGGGGGTATATGCAGCTCCAGCTGCTTCCTGATGCCTCAGAGGGGTTGTCACGTGGAAGCACGAAGAGAGGTGGTCAGAGCCCCTCCATCCCTAACAAACCCAGCAGTGGGAACCGAGCATGACACTATTTCAGATTGTTCGTATGCATCGAAGTAAAAGACAGAAAACACTGAATCTTCACTGTGGGACACAGTGGCGTAATGCTTCCCTTTTTAGGTCTGCGGAAACCGCCCCATGAGGCTGGGCAGACAAGCGAGGGAGCATTGCTGAGTGGTCGGAGGGACAGTACTAGCAGCAGTATGGAAATGAGTGAGACAAGGTCCTTGCCCCAGGTCATCAATAGTTCGAAAGAAAGAAGATTCTTTACCCTTAGTTCCAAAATAGCCTCGTGTTTAAGTACTGTTATAGGTCTTTCTGACTCTCTGTTTCTTCAATTCTGAATCGAAATGAATTTCCTTTGCCAAAATCCCAAAGCATTAATCCTATCAATGCTAAAAGCTATGTAAAACATGGCAGATCTTCAAGGAAAGTTATAGATGAGATTTTAAAAATCAAAAGAAATTCTTGTGGGGGCTTTTTTTAAGTTAAAAACACATCATCATTATAAAATGATATTCTCTTATAAAATGAGGATATAATAGGAATATTGGGAGAAGGATATAAGTAATAAAAAATGGTTTAAAGTAATTTGGTCTGTTCAGAAGAAAGCACTGCATTAATATCACCTGTGTCTCTCTGTGTACTAATTCTCTGTTGAAATGCCCAGTTCAACCAGATCCACCCATTGGCCTCAACTGGACTTTACTGAACATCAGTTTAACGGGGATTCATGCAGATATCCAAGTGAGATGGGAACCACCGCCCAATGCAGATGTTCAGAAGGGGTGGATAGTTCTAGAGTATGAATTGCAATACAAAGAAGTAAATGAGACCCAATGGAAAATGGTAAGATATCATTATATCTCATGCTTAAAAATCCTTTGACTTTTCTTTTTATATCAACACGGGTCTCATTTATTAGAGTTCCTTCTGACCTAATATCACATGCCCACACTCTGTGCAAAATTCTTATTTGAGGGAAACCAATGTAATTAATAAAATATTATGTTGGAATTCTGCCCCACAGCAGATGTTTCCATGGAGCTTATACAGAAGCCTGTGGAGGGAAGGGGAACTATCTCCCCAGTCATCCTTGGTGTCCAGTTTAATTTTAGAACAAAGTCATACACTCTAGCCCTTAGCAATCTTTGGGGATGTGGCTAACCATGGGAAGGGTTATGATTAAAGTCACCAGTGAGCTATGGCTAAATATTCTCCCATGATTTCAGTTGCTGCTATTCACAAGACCCCTATTAAAATAAGTTTTTAAGTGACTCCAGGAGGAAAGCAGGAGGAGGGGATTTGTCCCCAGAGGTTTCAAAGGATGCTTTGCTACATACCCCAAGGAAGAATCAAGCTAAGAGGTTTTATGTAGGCATGGAGCATGGTACTAGATGACTTCTGAACTCCTCACTTCCTTGACAAGCATATGGGAACTGGGCACTTGGAAAAATTCCACATGGCACACAACAGGAAGAAAAATGGGGTTATCTTGCTGCTCACAATATAACTAATTCTAAATCAGTCTAACCACAGCTACAGACCTGGCTAAGCCAAGTGGTTCCAGGCCAGTCAGCAGGCCATGCCCAGCAGCCTAGCACAGCGTCACTCCCAGAATTTGGAGACACCAGGCCCTGTCCATTCAGGGAACTGCTGAAAAAAAGCCATTGTCATAGAAGAAAGGTGAGGTTGGAGCAGCTGTATATTGGGCTTCAAGATTCTGTTTTCAGAATCATTTTAATTTAGATATCTGTCCCTAACTTAGTGCAAGAAAAGCTCATTTGGATGCTGAGTCAAAGAAGACTTTCTCTATGAGGCTTCAGGCTAACATTTCTTCAGCAACCAGGTACTGAAGTAATTATGGAGCACAAGGCACTGTGCTAGGTATCCCAGGGCAGCAGTTCTCAAAATGTGAACTGTGGATCCTCAAGGGCCCCTGAAACCTTTTCAGAGAGTCCACAAGGTCAAGACTATTTTCATAGTAATACTAAAAGGCTTTTTCCCTTTTTTCACTGTTTTGAGATTTGCACTGATGGTACAAAAGCCATGGTGGGAACACGGCTGCCTCCTTCCCACAAATCAAGGCAGTCACTCCAAACTGTACTGCCTGTCACTGCACTCTGTGTCACTACACATTCAGTCAGAGGGGGAAGGCTGGTTCACAGAAGGTCCATGAGGAAGTTGCACATACTTTGTGTACTCAGCCTTTGAGGACACAGCTTTTGAATATTCTGTGTGACACACAGGAAGTACACATAGAGTACTTCTGCTGCATACTGATGAACTGATGGTTGCCTTGAGCAAAAGCACTGCAATGGCTGAGCTGACAGCTGAACTAGCTGCTTTTTGCATGGCACACCTGTTTCCCTTGAAAGAAAACTATTGATAAACTGATAGATGATTTTTCGCATTTGAGTTGGCAAATATTAGGCAAACCTTTCTCAAAACAAAATGAAATGAGTATATCATTTCAAGAAATAAAATTGACGGTAGTTGTTGCCAGTGAAAAATATTTAAGCTTTCAAAGGAAAATGAGAATTTTGGAAAACTTGCCTCTGTAACTGTGAGCTTGATACCTTTCCCAATCTTTAGAGACTTTCCTGATGAGATCAGTGGTGATAATAGCAAAAGTGATTTTTCAAATATTGTATAGTAAAATTTGTGAACATTTAGAAAACTGAAGCAGTATTTTCCAAATGACTAATACATGTTGTAACCAAATGGGGATGCATGGGAAATGATCCATTGAAAGTGCTAGATGGAAAGGTGAATTTTAATGTGACAAGCTATGAAAGAGTCATTGATGGAGTTTCAGGTTTCACATTGCAGCTAACCTTTCAGAAACTACCACTTGTGCCTACCCTAGTTCAGTCAGTAGTCCTATTAATTTGCTTAATGCCAGCCCCCAAGCAGGTCATATGCTTCTGGTGTTTGAAGCATCTGATAAATTCTTCACACTGGAGTCAGAGTGATCTTTCTGAAATACACTTCCTTGCCTTAGATCCTTGTAATGAACACTCAAAAATGGGCACACATTAAAACCCACTCTTCACTTGTACAGTTCTGTGAGTTTTGACAAATCCATAGAGGAGAAAAAAATCTAGTATTTGTTGTTTATATCAGGAACTGATGTTACCATACAATGATACTGAATTTGGTATTACTGTGTCTTTTTTTATTAAATATGTTGTGAGTATAAAAGTAATACCAGTTATCATCTAATTGCTTACAATTATTTACCAAAGTTACACCAAGTTAAGAATTTGTGTTTTTTTAAAGACTTAATGGATGATGTAGAATTATCCGCAATGTATGGGGCCATCTCTTGAACACCAACTGTACACTTGATTGTGTTGGGCTTTGGAAATGCAAATATAATGAGGGCACTGTTTGCCCCCAGAGAATCTTCAGAGTAATATAGAAATCTGAGCAGTGAAATATAAGAAGTAATATAAGATGGGACTTCTCTGGCAGGATGGAATATGGAAAAGTGCCAAGAATGACTTCGTAGAATATCAGCAATACTCACACCGAGGATTGGCTGAGAAGAGGGACTCCTTGCAGGCAGCTGGCAGGGTTCAGTGTGGGTAGCAGAAGGGGAGTTTGGTGTGGCTGGTGGGGCAGATTGAGGGAAGAAGGTGAACGAGGCCATAGGTCGAATCACTGAGGACCCCTTTTCAGTGTTGTTATTAGTGAAATCTATAAAGAATATTGGTGACAATAGAGAAATTAGGGCTTAAGTGTGGAAACGGGCTTTTAAAATATTTTAAGAAAAATAATAAAATGTTTAAAATTTAGAATCCTGCCTTAGAAAAGCATTTTAGCTATATAATATTCCACATTTTAAGAAGCTTCTTTAAAACATGCAAATTTAAAAAAAAAACAGGTACTTTTTAAGTAGAAACCAAGGTGAAAGGAAAATTTTAGAAGCTGAAAACCCAGCTTCTGACTTAATAAACAAATCATGAGAATTGATTTATGTGAAAAATCCATGCTGTTGTAAAGTAAGTGTCCCTGATTTAAATGGGAACAGGGTGTTCTACCCAAAAACATGAAAAACACTTACTGAATACCTGCTTTGAGTATTTGGCTCAGGGGAAAACACCATCATTAGTTGAGTCTAGCTCTTTGATCTCTGTATGTCTTAAAGGTCTAATAGCCTCACCTGCCTTTCCCCAGGAAGGTAAAGGAATATTCTTATCTTAAGGGTTGTGGGACCCTGGTGTTCATTACCAAACATTCCAGTGACATTTCTTCACAGATTTTAAGTAGCAAACTCTTTTGAGGTGGCTTTAAGCTTTCTAGAACAAACCAATTAGGTATATAGTTGCTTCTCATAGAATTATTTAGACAACTGTGATTTTTATAGTTCTGTGATCATGAGTGACTACCCAGAATTTCCAAAGAACAGATGTATATATTTGACTATAACTTGTTTTGTGTGGAAATATGTTTTTCTCTTCCTATGTCTTCATACAAGACCATAAAATCCCCAAGGACAATTAACATATCTGTAGTCTTCCCTAGATTTCTGCCATTCTCCATAATAATTCTGTCATTCTTTGATTGTAGTAGACCTGACAGCAATGCAAAGATAGACCTGCATTTCTTTAAACAAATCTGTCATATCTTTGGGTTTAGACTATTATCTATTTAACAAAATGATTCTTCACAAAATTGTTTGCCTTGATCTTACCTTAAATGGCATACCAGTGCACTTAAAAATGTTATCTACTTTGCAGAAATTCATCCTGAATTCAAATGCAGCACACAAAGGTATTTTACCTTGTAGAGTTTAGAGTTTTGCGTTGTTGACTCTCAAAAACCCAGTAAGTTTTATATTTTGTCTTAAAAGATGGACCCTGTATTGTCAACATCAGTTCCTGTGTACTCACTGAGACTGGATAAAGACTATGAAGTGCGTGTGAGATCCAGACAACGAAACTCTGAAAAATACGGCGAGTTCAGTGAGGTGCTCTATGTAACACTTCCTCAGATGAGCCCATTTGCATGTGAAGAAGGTAAAAAGAAAAGATTTTAAATGGCAGCCAATGTGGTTTTTCTCAGTATATATTGGTATACTTCCTCTTTTATTAGGGTGTTGCCCAGATCAAGATTCAATAGCATCGAATGTCAGGGTGAGAGACCTCAAGCTCACTATCTGTGGCAGGTATTATCCACTACCAAAGTGGAGGGAGGATTTAGTTTTCAAGTTATTTAATTCAGGAAAAGTCCTAGGGTAGATGCAAATTAGAGGGACGATACACTAAGATATTAATGGGAGATCTCTGGATATTAGAATTTCAGATGATTCTTGTCTTTATGTTTCTGTATTTTTAAACTTCTCTACAATGAGCTTGGTTTGCATTTATGGTCAGGAAAAAGTGTTTTTCAAATGCATACTGAGGAAAATCTCTGCATATGTGGATGGATGGGTATGCGGCATCTAAGAGCCTAATATTGAGTCAAGTGAGGCAGTCAACAGCAGGTGCTTATTGGCTTTAGAAAGTTTAGATGTAGCTTTTACCTTGAAGAGAGCTTAATAAGTGGTGTACCAGTTATGCTCAAGAATGACACAGAACATTTAAAGATGCTGTGTAAGAAAAAGACATAATTGAAGTTTCAGCAGATAGGGCCTATAAATTGAGAATAAAAGAACTAAAACTTTTATATACAGAAATAAAGAAGACTGCTTAATAATAAGCAGTAGGTGTGTAATGTTATCACTCCCCAATGGTTATTAGCAATAACTCATCTCCATTAAAACCAAAAGGTTTACAAGGCCATATAAGGAGCTGGAGTTTGTTAATGAAACAGTTATAGGCTACAGAGAAATTAGATTTCTGCATTTATGGTACAGGCAGAATCCATACCAAATAGTACTTAAATGCCTATAGTACCATCCTTTCTAAGTTCTGCTTAACAGGCTTGATGCTTCACACAATGTTATAATGAAATTCTGATTTAAAAGTACATTTGCCACATGACCTCTAAGCTTATTGTGATGACATTTAATTCTAGCATAGCATAGATAAAATCTAGCAGAGATTTTTTTAACTGTCTTTTCCTTCCATGTTAAAAGAAAATTTAACATAAAGCTCTAGCTTTGTTATATTCCTGAATATGTCATTCAGTTATAAAATTATATGTAAAGTTAGAGACACAAGATACAAAATATCTCTCCCCCACAAATTATAATATCCATAATATTTCCCTTGGGGATTTTAATAGCTGAATAAGAAAATTAAAACAAGAAAGGAATATTACAGCATAAAAGCCTACTTTTAATAAAGTGCCATTAAGGCAAATTATTAAAAAGCAGATAACCTCTGTCAGTGTGTAAGAACACTGGGAACCAGCTGCAGGGTGGCTCGCAGGCATTTGTTCGTAAGGAATGAAACAGAAGTTTTACAAACACATACCCCCAAATCTGCTATGAAGTGTACTAAAATCCGAAGTTAGGAGCCCCAATAGTGATCTCCTGTCAAAGGATTTTATTAAGCTATAAAATATATGCTCTGCATGTCTAAAAACTTCAGTCATTGATCAAAAATAGGAACTCTGCCCCCATCTTTTTGATAGATCCTCAGTGTGGAGGATCAAAAAATATTACCACCCTTTAAAAAAAAAGAAGCAAGTGGACATTATTTAGGTAAAGTAGTAGGTACGTTACCAAGCAGCACTTTGTCCTAGAGCTGAAACCTTTAATGACTAATGACATACCCTGAACACATAAGGTGTTTAAATCCATTGGGTGTTTTTTTTTATTATATAGACATGGCTGTGTTTAAACTATTTGCTGTCTCTTTATTTTGACTTTCTTTTTCCTACATGAAAGGATTAAAAGCAGTGGACAGAGGTATTCTAGGTACAAAAAATACTATTAATTCACTGCTTTCTGTTTCAGAGGTTATCAAGAGAAATTACAGATTTCACTAGATGCATACAAGTTAAATATTTTTATGTGAAAAAGGAAAGTGAAATATAAATATTGCATAATTCTGAGTGAGATATTGTTCTTGTGTTTTTCAGATTTCCAGTTTCCATGGTTCTTAATTATCATCTTTGGAATATTTGGGCTAACAATGATAGTATTTTTATTCATATTTTCAAAACAACAAAGGTGGGTATGAAATAGTCTACTTTGATACGTTTTTGACAGTTGTTTAGAAATCCATGTGCGTTTCCATTTGTTATATTTTTTTTGGAAAATCATGAGTGAAAATTTTAATTACTATGGTAACATATTACCTCCGATTATATGTTTGCCACTTTGTTTGTCATAGGGAATTCATGGGTTTCAGTTCTATCTAGGAAGTTGCTTAACATTAAGAGGCTGAGACGAGTGACTGCTCACCTTGTGGTATGTACCTCCTTGACGAAACTGTCATCTCAGAGCTGCCTCTTCACTTCTTCAAAGTCCTGAGCAAGGTGGCTCATTAGTTCCAGGACAGTAAAGTAGCTGGAACCTTTGACTGAGTTTGACACAGACCTGATGCACAAGCAAATTTAAGTCGCAACTAAAACCACCTAGATAATTCACTTTAATAAAATCTTTCTAGATTTCATATGGTGATTTCAAGTAAATTTGGGTTTTATTTAAATTATTAAATTTTAGGGGCAGAGCCAAGAGGGTGGCGTGAGTAGGACAGTGGGAATCTCCTTGCAAAACATAAATTATTAAATTTTATTTATATCATTCAAATGCTAAGTTAACTGCATTTGTAAACACTGCTAAAATTCTAAGTTTGAAGAGATGCCATTCTGCACTCTTTTGGAGTCAAAAGACTTGGGTTCCAGTTATTATTCTGCCTCTGCTGTTTGATCTTGTTTGAATCCCTCAACCTCCCTGGGCTTCCTTGTTCCCATGGGTAATATGAGGGTGTAGGATTGTATGACCTTTACATTTCCCTTAAGCTTTAAGATCTATCATTCTGTTTTTCTTCCTAAAAGAAACTCAGTACAGACTACAAAAATTTTTAATATTTTTACATTTTAAATAGGAAAAATTATTGGTATCCATTTGCCATTTCTCCCATTTTCTTCCACTTAGAGTATTTTTTCAGTCCCATTTAGAGTATTTTTTAAGTCCCGTGGGTTAATCTTTCCCCTTCTCCCAGAACTAGGATGACTTAACATCCCAGTTTGCCTAGAACTTCCCTGGTTCTAGCAGTGAAAACCTTGTGTCCCAGAAAACCCTTTTCCAGCAAACCGAGGTGGTCAGTCACCATACCTAGAACTGAAGACGAGGGTTCCAGCTGAAGCTAAGAGACTTCTACAAATCAGAATGGAATTTATGTGAATATATGGCAAAAGCTTTTTAGTTCTTTTTTGTTTTTTTTGAGGTTGTATAGCATTTGTGAACATCAAAGTAAAATTTTAGTAGACAAAAGAATTTTCACAATGCTGGAGTTCTAGAGTGTCAAGCATCCTAAAAGCTTCCAACTGAATGGAGAAAGGGTTATTACTAGTGGAGTTTCATCTCCAGTTTTATCATGTAAACCAATGGGAAAACAAAACTCATTCTGCAGAATTTCATTTGGCTCTTAACTTTCGAGCAACAACTCTAATTTACAAACAACTGGTATAAAGCAGAACAGCACAGTTTTCAGTTGTTTGAGGAAAAATTAAATACATTAATTTCTTAAAATTCTAAAAATGTATTTATTTACTAAGTAATGCCAGCCACAAAGGAGTCAAATTATTCAGTTGGTTAATTTGAATTCACTGATCTGTACAGGTGATGGGCTAATTTATATGTAACTGCAGTAGATATACCCACTATGTTTGTAACTTACTCTTAACATTAGCTGTCAGCTTTGAGTCATTGTGAAGGCCAAGTAAATTTGTTATGATGTTTAATTATGTTAACAAGATTTCAAAGAAAAAAGTATTCTCAACAAATAGGACTTCAAAGAAAATAAGAGTGTGTTTCTATGACTAATGATGTTTTTAACTATGATTGGTCAAATCACCAAATTGTACAATTGTCCTGAAATCTTTATCATCCTCCCAAATTTCCTGTGCTAAATTAAGTTCTCTGTAGAAAACAATTAGGTTTTTTTCTTTCATTTGTCCACAAAAACCCTTGTTATTGTCTAAATTTCCATGTTCTAATGAAAGTAGGAAATGGAAGAAAATAGTTGTCAGCAGGTATGCAAAGAACATGTAGTTCTAGTAATTAAAATGATACTCCAGAGAACAAGGTGCTTATGTCTGCTTTCCCCAGAACCGGAAGGCTACAGAGAGCTTCAGGTCCTACATATCTTTGCTTGAAGTTTTATGAATCCACAATCCAAGCCACTTCTTCCTTTCTTAATCCGGATAATTGTGTCAACTCTAGGAAGGTTTATATTTCCAACTTGAATAGGATGATAGGAAAGTCACAGATGCAGTTTCATGCCAGGTTATCTTTATACTCTGTGGTATACAACCCATCCAGCCTTTGAGCTATTACTAATGGGAAAGAAACAAATGAGTCAGCATGAAACAGAAGTGGCAAAGTGACAACCTGAAAACCAAATTTGGCCTACAGATCTGTGTTTTGTTATTTTATGACACTTTGTAGTAAAATCTTTACTCCAAAATCAAAGTTTTTACCAAATGGAAATTTGGATTTTTGAAATTTTCAAAATTGGATTTTGAGAATTCCTTAGATTATCTTTTAAAACTGAAAGACCTGGTGAAACTGGGTTGATATTCCTGCATGGCAACATGCACTGAGCAGAAGACTAACTATCCCATTTGGGAAGGGCGTATGTTCTTCTGTCACCATTCCCATCCCATCCTATGATATTGCATCAGGCCTGCTTCATTCATGTGCATGACCTGCTTGGGCCCTGTAGGCTTCAGGGTCTGCCACCCTGGCCTAAAGTCAACCACTACTCCCAGAATGCTAATATGCGCCGAAATGCATCCATCATCCTGTGCAAAAAAGAAGGCCACATAGAACCAAGTCAAGTATTAGGCAATTGGGAATCTTTGCTTTCTGAAATTAGGGTTAGGTCAGATATTTGTAAGTTTTTGACATTTGAAATATTCATTTAGAGTAGCAGAACCAAATAACACAGCAGCATGACAAAAGACAAGGGCCTGGGTTTTGGAGTTAGGTACTTTGGATTTGAGCCCTAACTGTGCCAAGTTGGGTGCATGACTTGAACACTGTCCTTAAATCTCTAAATCTTTCCACAGATATCATCTGCTTCCCTGGTAGTTGTAAGAATTAAATGAAGTACTTAGTGCAGAGGTAGACAAACTTGTTTATAAAGGGCCAAACAGTACATTTTTAGGCTTTGGGGGCAATATAGTCGCTGTCATAGTTACTCAACTCTGCCACCTTGGCATGAAAGCAGCCATAGCTCTATGTAAACTAATGAATGTGACTGTGTTCCATTCAAAATTTACAAAAACAGAGAGCAGGCCAGATTTGGCCCACAGGCCATAATTTGCCAACCCATAGTTCAGTACAAAATATATCTCACAGGGTCTTATCAGAGACATTCAAAAAAGGTAGGAGTTATTATTAATCATTTACATTTTTTCTGTATTTTCATCAGTAACAATTCATTTTAACATTTGCCCCATTGAAGAAACCTAATAAAGGCTATTCAAAGCAACTTTTGGCTTATTCCTTGTTTAGGTAAAAAGGTAAATGGAAATATTTAGAGCATGGGTTCCCTGTTGAATAGACTGTCCATTCACATTAAGTGGAATATCAGCTCTACCCAAAAGTTAGTTTACCATCCTGCCCAACAGTGGATTCTCTGATATATAGGGCTTTTTTAAATAAGAAAAAGAGTTGGTTGGAATGGATAATCTCTGAGCTTTATTCTAGGGCAACAATGCTAATTTTAAGATACAAACTCTAGTTATACCATTAACAAAATAGATAAAAGATTTATTCAAATGTATTCAAGAAATATTTATTAAGTACCTTCTTGTGCCAGGAATTGTTCTAAGTTCTAAAAGATGGAATAAAGCATAAGACAGGCAGAATGGACATTGTAATGTGTTATGGTCAAAAAATAAATATTTGGAACAGAAAACTTAAGTGCATGACAGAATTGTATATATATAAAACCATACTGATTACTTAGAGATAGTTCATATTTAGTCTTTCCCAACCAAATGATCTTTGTAAAGATACCCTTGTTTATAAGATCAGATTATATTATTTTATACTTACTGTGAGCTCTGTGGTGTGAATTTATCCAAGTCCACCCTTTTTTGAAGGTGCAAATAATTTTGGCTCCATGTGGATTAGCTTTTCTTTCTTTTCTCTGCAAAATACTAATGAGATGTATGCATTAAAATTACCTTTTTTATAACTGACATGGAAATTGGCTTCAGATAAGTTAAATTTCTCACTCCCAAATCCTAATGCTGGCTGTCAATAAAAGACATTAGAAGAAGAAAAAAAAAAGATGATAGGAAAACCACTCTTTAATTAAACTGACTTTTTTACTAGTAACAAAACTGAACCAGTAATAAAAAAAAACCCTAAAAAAAACAAAATTCCAGGACCAAATGTCTTCACAGGAGACTTACCAAACATTTAAAGAAGAGTTAGTACCTATCCCTCTCAAGCAAGTCAAAAAAAGAAAAATTATAGACCAATATCCCTCATGAACAATGATGTAAACATCTTCAAGAAAATATTAGTAAACCAAATTCAGAAATACATTAAAAGGATCATTCACCACAACCAAGTGGGATTTATTCCAGGGATGCAAGGATGGTACAATATCCACAAATCAAATAATATAATACACCACATTAACAAAAGAAAGAATGAGACCATGTGGTCATACCAATACATGCTGAAAAAGCGTTTGACAAAAATCATCCACTTATGATAAAAACTCAACAAAGTGGGAATACAGGTAACATACCTCAATATAATGAAGGCCATATGTGACAAACCCACAGCTAACATCACACTCAATGGCCAAAAGCTAAAAGCTTTTCCTCTAAAATCAGGACCAAGACAAAGAAGCCCACTGTCACCACTTTTATTCAACATTGTACTAGAAGTCCTCACCATAGCAGTCAGGCAAGAGAAAGAAATAAAAGGCATCCAAATTGGTGAGAAACAAGTAAAATTATCACTATCTGAAGAGGACATAATACTGTACATAGAGAACCCAAAAGATTCCACCAAAAACTACTAGAATTAATAAATGAATTCAGTTAAGTTGCAGGATATAAAATAAACATACAGAAATCTGTTGCATTTCTATATACATCGATTGCATTTCTATATATCAGTTTAACCAAGGAGGTAAAAGACCTGGACTCTGAAAACTATAAGACATTAATGAAAGAAAGTGAAGAAGACACAAATAAATGTAAAGCTATCCTATGCTCATGGATAGAAATTGATATTCTTAAAATGGCCATACTGCCCCAAGCAATCTGTAGATTTAGTGCAATCCCTATCAAAATACCACTGGCATTTTTGACTGAACTAGAGCAAATAATCCTAAAATTTATATGGAACCACAAAAGACCCCAAAGACCCTGGGTTTTGAGTTAGGTACTTTGATTTCAAAGTACAAGGTACAAGATTTCAAAGCTATCTTGAAAAACAAGAACAAAAGCTGAGGGTATCACACTACTGGTTTTAAGCTATAGTAGAAAGCTACAGTAATCAAAACAGTATGGTACTGGCACAGAACAGATATATAGACCAGTGGAACAGAACAAAGAGCCCAGAAATAAACTACACCTGTTGGTCAATTAATAGATAACAAATGAGGCAAGAATATACAATAGGGAAAATACGGTCTATTCAAGAAATGTTTCTAGAAAAACTTGACAGCAACATGCAAAAGAATGAAACTGGATCACTGTCTAAACAAGATATAAAAATAAACTCAAAGTGTATTGAAGACCTGAAACCATAAAACTCCTAGGAGAAAACAGGCAATAAACTCATGAACACCGGCATTAGTAATTTTTTTCTGGATGTGTCCCCAAGCAAGGGAAACAAAAGCAAACATAAGTGGGACTATATCACAGCAAACTTCCGCATAGCAAACGAAACCATCAACAAAATGAGAAGACAACCCACTGCATGGCAGAATATATTTACAAATGATATGTCTAATAAGGGGCTAATATCCAAAATACATAAAGAATTCATACAACTCAACATCAAAAAGACAATCCAATTAACCATATGATTTCACCTGTATGTGGAACCTATAAAGCAAAACAGAGAAACCTGAAATAGACTCATAAACAGAGAATAGACCTGGTGGTCACCATAGGGTATGGGGGTGGAGAGATGGGTGAAATAGATGAATGGAAAAAAAGGAAAAATTAGTGAGAATATTTGGGTGCTAGTCAGGGTGATGGTTATATGGGTGTATACATGCCAAAATTCATCAAGCTGTACTCCAAGATTTGTGCACTTTATATACCTCAAAAAAAAGATAGAAAAAAGAAAATCACTAATCAGAAAAGATATTTACACTCCTAATGTTTATCACAGCATTATTTACAATAGTCAAAATATGGAAGCAACCCAAATGTCTATCGATAGATAAATGGATAAAAATGATGTGGTACATATATACAATGAAATATTATTTGAACATAAAAGAAATGAAATTTTATCATTTGTGACAAAATGTATAGACCTAGAGGGTATTATGCTAAGTGAAGTAAGACAGAGAAAGACAAATACTGTATGATTCACTTACATGCTGAGTCTAAAAAACAAAACTGAAATAGACTCATAAATACAGAGAACAGACTGGTGGTGGCCATAGGAGAGGAGGGTGTAGGGATAGGTGAAATACGTGAAGGGGAAAAAAAGGAGAATGTTTGATATCTTAATCTAGGTGATGATTACATGAGTGTATACACAAGTCAAAATTCTTCAAGCTGTACACTAAGTGGTATGCATTTATATACCTCAGTATAAAATTTTAATATTTAACAAACTTAACAAGAATGTAAAAATACATTTTAAACTTTGAGCATCATAAAACTTAACCTTTGTTATGTGGTAGGCTACATTTGTCTTGTTCTAAGGTGGTTTCCTTAATACTGTTACATTAGGTGGATTATACTTTTTGAAAATAAAGTAACTATGAAATAAGTAAATTGAATTCAGATGAAGACTTTTTGGTCTTTTTCTTTTTCTATAGTGTTTCCTTATTTACCTTAATATTTTCCTTCTCTTTCTCATATCCTATTTATATATAGTACCAGAATATTTGGAATAAGTAATACCTCTTTAAATGAGAGAATGTCTAGCTTTTAAGATATATCAAACCAAACTTTTGTTTTCAAGGATTAAGATGCTGATTCTGCCCCCAGTTCCAGTTCCAAAGATTAAAGGAATTGATCCAGATCTCCTCAAGGTAATTAATAAATTATGTAAATTATAAATAACATTAATTAAATGTTACCTGCAGAACACTGTCTTACATTGAGAACTTTGCAAACTATATGAATCACATTCCATTTTTTTTGTACCCCTTCAGGCAGAAAATTTTTTAAATAATACATCTCTTAAAATTATGAGAATGCCTTTTGTATTTAAAAGTTCTACACCTGTGTATTTTTTGTTATATGGTTTTGTTATTGTTCTTATACCATAATTAGTCTCTGAATATTATTTGTTAAATCATTTAGTCATTATGAGTTTCTTTTCATAGATCATTTTCTTTGTTTCCTAGGAAGGAAAATTAGAAGAGGTGAACACAATCTTAGCCATTCATGACAATTATAAGCCTGAATTCTACAATGATGACTCGTGGGTAGAATTCATTGAGCTGGATATTGATGACCCTGATGACAAGACTGAAGGATCAGACACAGACAGACTTCTACGCAATGACCACCAGAAATCACTTAATATCCTTGGGGCAAAGGATGACGACTCTGGACGTACCAGCTGTTGTGAACCTGACATTCTGGAGACTGATTTCAATGCCAGTGACATTTGTGATGGTACCTCAGAGGTTGCTCAGCCACAAAGGTTAAAAGGGGAAGCAGATCTCTTGTGCCTTGACCAGAAAAATCAAAATAACTCACCTTCTAGTGATATTACTCCTGCTCCCCAGCAGCCCAGTGTTACCCTAGCAGAAGAAAACAAACCAAGAGCACTTCTTAGTGACGCTGAGTCAACTCATCAAGCTGCCCATCCTCAGCTAAGCAATCCGAGTTCACTGGCAAACATTGACTTTTACGCCCAGGTAAGCGACATTACACCAGCAGGGAGTGTGGTCCTGTCCCCAGGCCAAAAGAACAAGGCAGGGATATCCCAGTGTGACATACATCCAGAAGGGGTCTCGCTCTGCCCAGCCAACGTTATCATGGACAACGCCTACTTCTGCGAGGCAGATGCCAAAAAGTGCATCGCCGTGGCCCCTCACGTCGAGGTTGAATCACAAGTGCAGCCAAGCTTTAACCAAGAAGACATTTACATCACCACAGAAAGCCTTACCACTACTGCTGGGAGGTCTGGGACAGCAGAAGGAGCTCCAAGTTCAGAGATGCCTGTCCCAGACTATACCTCAATTCATATAGTACAGTCTCCACAGGGCCTCATACTCAATGCGACCGCCTGGCCCTTGCCTGACAAAGAGTTTCTCTCATCGTGTGGCTATGTGAGCACAGACCAACTGAACAAAATCATGCCATAGCCTTTCTTTGATTTCCCATGAGCTACATATTTAATGGCAAAGAGTTGGCTGAGGCATGAATGCTCAAACCAAAACAATGTTTAAACCTTTTCGGCGGAGAGAGGCATGGACTCTAAATGCCTTTACCTGAAATGTGGACACATGATATTAAAAAAAAGAACAATTAATCAGATAGATATTCCTGTTGTGAACTGTAAATATTTTAATCTCAAAGACTGTTTAGTGGCAGTGATTGTCTTGTTATTGTGGGTGTTAATTTTGTGATACTAAGCATTGAATGACTATGTTTTTAATGTATAGTAAATCATGCTTTTTGAAAAAGCAAAAAATCAGGTGGCTTTTGCAGTTCAGGAAAATTGAATGCAAATCATAGCACAGTTTAATTTTTTTTAAATAATTGGAAACTAAAATTATAGGTAAGAAGACATAGTTTGGATATGTAAAATGTTTATTTTGACATAAAATTGATAATGATATTTTTAATAATTTACACTTCAAGTATGGCTATTTTATATTACACTACACACTGTGTACTGTGGTTCCTACAGACCATCTGAAGAATGTAGCAACTACAGTCCAAAGTTGGTTTAACACTTTGGTTAGCGCACCTAAAGGAAAACAAACAACTTAGTTTTTTACAAGGCCCTTTTTATACTTCCCCAAATCCCTTAAACAGTTCTAAGATGATTGTAGTTACCTTCATTATTGGAACATGCACATTTTATCGGAATTTCTAAACAAATACGTGTTAATTTAGAAAACCGTTAAAGGTTTGCATGCCAACTTACCATGAACCCAAACCAACAAAAACTCTTTCTTGTCCAAATTTGGGTTCACATCAGAGAGCTACACACTCAGAGGAGTGGGAAGTATAGCTGGTCCATACCTATGGGATACTTACGTGCGGCAGCCTGCGGAGTGAGATTCTGAGTGCATGCAGATGGTTGAGAGCTAAGCCCTGGGAGCTCTGCAGCAGGATCTCTGCACAACTTGGTTTTATTCCACAGTTACTAAGCAGGAATAAGGTATGAGAAGCATTTTGTCTGTTGAAGCAAGTCGAAAGGCAGTTAACCAGATAATGGAATAAAAAGTAAAAGAAAATCGTTTTTGTCCCAGAACCTATAGTCAGACACAGACTCAGTCACGGTAACAAGACACAAAAGAAACAAAATTTAAATCCCCACAGATAACTTAAAACTTACTTAAACCAATAGCAGAAACGTCCTTCCTCACCAAACTTTTTATAGGATTTATTTAGTGAAAGAAGTCTCACCATTGTTTATTTCCCCTCTGAATGGACTGGCCTCAGAACTGTCAGAAGAAAGAAAAGGGGCCTGAGTAATTTACAGAGTATCGTTCAATCTCCTAATAACCTAAACATCACTCTTAGGAACACTGGGACTGGCCCCCAAAAAGATTGTCAAAACAAGAAGAATCTCATCTCACTGAAGAATGCTTCTCACTTTAAGGGGTTTTTTTAAAGGGTAATTTAAGTTAGCTTTAAATTAAATAGTATTTGCCATTTAGCTCAGACCTTCTTAGGAAACAAACTTAATGACTGGTGATTTAAAATTCCTTCTTTCTTGCAGGAAGGACAGTGAAAAGCTAGAATTGGGTGTTTCAAGTTCAACAGGTCCCTTTGTGATAGTTCAGTAGGTTCCCGCCATCTTGCTGCTATGGTTTTCTCTGAGCTACATAATTGAGTTTTACACACAATTTCGTCAATGTAGAGCCTGATTCAACTTAAAACTGTGTGTTTTGGGAAAACTATCTTACTATTTCAAAATAGGCTGACAACGATTTCTATAGCCAAAAATAGCTAAATACCTCAATCAGTCTCAGAATGTCATTTTGGTACTTTGCTGGCCACACAAGCCATTATTCACTAGTATGACTAGTTGTGTCCTGCAGTTTATATTTAACTTCCTTTATGTCTGTGGATTTTTTTCCTTCAAAGTATAATAAATTTATTTTCTTGGATTCGTGATGGTATGGTATGCTTCTATTATAAAACACCCACATGAAAAGCATCCGAAACCAGAGTACATATTCTTCTGAGTTCTTCTCATTGCAAGGGGGAGCTTAGCACAACTGGCTTAAACACATTGATACTGGGGGTGGAGATTTTTTTAGAGCTTTTTCAAGGAAACAGGAGTCCAGCTCAAAAGTATCCTGCTGGCTTGCCTGGACTGTACCCTCTCCTCAGGCTGCAGCTCCCCATGGCAGAGGCTCTCAGAGCCATGTTTTAGATGCGTTGTAGTTTGCCTGACATTAGGAGGGGGTTTTGAGGAGAGGAGGGTGGTGCTTAGCATTGTCCTTAAGCTATATTTCTAGGTTGAGCATGTTGCCTGGAGGGAGGGAAAGCAGCTCTTCCTCTCCATTCACACATTAGCACAAGTCAGTTTGTTAGGTTAGCTGTCATCATGGGAAGCAGATAGTAAGGCAAGGCTGGAGGCTGGTTAGATAGGTCGTGTAGGAGCCTGAGGCAGCAGTAAAGCCATGAAGCATAGATCCCTCCACAGAAGGCAGGCTGCAGGCAGGTTACCTAACAAATCACAGGCTCTTGTGCAGGGTGCAGAAAGGTGAGAGTCTGCAGTAGCATTGAGAAGCCACTGAACAATTCACTGCTTCAGCAAGTTGAATGCAAACTGCCATGACTTTTCATAATAGTAGAGGGTTGGCATTCAATACTGAAATTAAAATTCTCTGTCTGCCACCTTCAGCCCTTTGAGGAGCTGTTAGTTACCTGAAAGAACTATGGGTGAAGCCGTAGAGTTTCCTACTTCCTTATTTGGAAATAAGGTTTGAAAATCTTGTCTTCCCTGCCACTAAGATAATTGGAACATTCACTGCCTTAACATTAACCTTGAAAGGTCACCATTTAAGCACCAAGTATTTACTTCTTACATATGCTACACCAGACTCACCCTTGTGATATGACAAGCTTATCATTCATATGGGGTGCTTCGGGTGTCAGGAGTGAGGGGAAAGGAGGGCCTCCCTATTTCCTTAGATGAAAGAGCTCAACCCTTCCTACTACAGAAGATTAATGTCATATACAGAAAATTAAGGTGGCTACACGTGTTTCTGCGTTTTAATGGTTCTACTAAGACATACTAACACCGACATCTATTCACATGTTACAATATTTCTATATGTTCATAATTGTACACCAAAATAGTAAATGTCTATTCATGCTCCCTGTTTAGGGTAGGAAATAGGGGGAAAACTGCAAGTTACATGAATCCAAACTCTTTAGGTTGGAATCCAAGATTTCACATAATTTTCCCAACCTTTGCTTGCTTAATATGTTAAGAGCTGTGTATAAAGGGCATAATTTCTAAATAAGAATTTAGCCTTTGCTCAAAATTCAAGCTTTGTTCCTCTGGAAATCAGTAACGGTATTAAGTCAACTATGCTACACAGACAACACTGCTCATGCTTAAAAACCTCTGATGGGTAAATTACATCTGGATGAAGAGAAACTCTAAATACCTGGAGATAAACCTTACTTTGCACTTGAGTATGATGACACTTGTCAGTGAGCATGTCTCCTACGGGGACACTGGAAGCTGTGCCTACCATGTTGCAACAAGAGCTGTTGGCTCCAGTGGAACAGAGAGCTTTTAAGGGATAAAGGTAAAAGGGATACTTTTACCTGCCCAATAGGAGACTCCTCTCTGAGCTGTCACTTGGGGAAGGGGAGAAAGAAAATACCAGACAACTGTATAAAAAGCTGTGCTGGCTGCTGCATGGATTACTGCCACACCTATGACCCTAAAGCAGAAAGGCTGATGCTGCCCTGTCCTACATTCTCCTGAGTAGACTGGAGCCTAGTGTGGTCTGTGGTCAGCTGGGGAATGTTTAGTTGAGCCTAAGAAGAACCTCTTGCAGATGAGGTATTGTCACTCCTTGAATAAAGTTTGTGCTTTCCCATCTCTACATCCTTCTCACATCTCTGAAAAGTTCCCACTTACTAATCCTGCCTTTCAAAATTCCCCCCATGCTTCACAACCTATCTCAGACACTTCCTTCATGTAACCCCCCCTAATTCTCTCCAGCCTTAAGAGACCCTTGCCTCACATGAACCACTTTTAATGGTGCTTATAACGCCTAGCTGTTAGCTCACCTAATAACCACATAGGATGAGTTTACCAACATTCTGGGGCATGCTTGTTCCCCGAATTGTTTTTAGTGTTTCTGTAGTCAAATAAGTTTGAAAAACACTTTATACTACACTTCCCCCAAGAGAACCAGACTGCATGTTGACATAAGATTTTTAAAAAGCTTCAACAGTAAAAAATAATAATAATAATAATATAAAATAAGACAAGCCTGTTTAATACATTATTTCCTAATATTTAACAATGAAAAATATGATGGGAGGTGGGTCCAAGATGGCTGTGCAGAAAGCCTGAAACCACCTTCTCCCACATACACATTGAATCTATACCTACACACAGAACAATTCATTCTGAGAAAGAACTGAGGCCTGAGTAAACACCTTCTGCACAACAAGGGATAAAAAGACCACATAAAAAACAGCAGGAGAGACAAAGACACTGTAATGGAAGAAGCCTCACCCCAATGCAGCCCTACAGCACAGAGGGATATCACTGAGGGACCTGAGCACAGATTTGCCTGCCCAGAACAAAACCCCCCAGTTTAAAATGGCTTAAAGACCAACCACACCATACATGAAGGAAACCCATTTCTCAGAACTAAAGCCCTCTCAAATGGCAGGGGAACTGCTAGCTCTCTCTCTGGAATTGGAGGTGCTGATGAGTGCCACTGCTTACACTCCCCGCAGACACTGCTAGTGCACCCAGAAGCGGGGAAAGCACCATTGTTTGTGTTCCCCCTGCACACTGAAGTGTGAATGGGAGCAGGGTCACAATCCACATACCAGCTCCAAAATTAAGAAAGGCAGTCTCCTACTCTGCCTGTACCTAAGCACACCTGCCAAAGATCCCACAAGCAGCCCCACCAAGGGGGCAACAGCATGCTGCCCACACCGTTTCACCCTGTTCACACACCCTCTATACCCAGGCACCCCATTTGCACAACCCTAACAGGCACCCATCCAGGAGAACTCCAGACCATGCCGCTCTGCCCCTAGTTACCCTGCCAGCAAGCCCAGAACCCATCCAGAAGTCCCCCAAACCAAGCCCTTCCACCCCCAGCCACTCCACAAGTACAGCACCTGTCCAGAACCAAGCCAAGAGAACCCAAGCGTGCACCCCTCCACCACTGCCCACTCCATTAGCACAGCCCCAGGGGACCCCTGGACCATGTCCCTCTTCCCCTGTTGCTCTGCAAATAAGGCCCCAGCCTTTTGCCAATCCTGAAGCTCTCTAGATTGCAAGCCTTTGACACCAGCCACCCAGCCAGTACAGCTCCAGCTGGGCTGGTACCCAACCAGGAGACCCCTGACCCATGTCTGGGAGCACTGGGATATCCCAGCCCATGCCCACTCGGCCTCCAGCCAGCCAGTCAAAACTGCTGGGCACACACAGTCTACCCAGGGACATTTCTACACAAGGCCATGCCTTCAAGACTGGAACAGGTAGCACTTCTGCCTAAACTACAGAAACAAACACAGGAAGTCAAAAAATGAAGAGACGCTGGAGTATGCTTGAAACAAAAGAAAATTATAAACTTCAGAAAAAGAACTAAATGAAACAGAGTTAAGCAATCTACCACATGAAGAGCTTAAAGAAACGATTATAAAGAAGCTCACCAGACTTGAGAGAAGATGGATATACTCAGTAAAAAACCTCAACAAAGAAATAGAGAATATGAAAAAAACAACCAATCTGAGAGGAAGAATACAGCAAATGAAGAGGAAAACACACTAGAGGGACTCAACAGCAGATTAGAGGATGCATAAGAATGGATCATCAATGTGGAAGGCAGACTAATGGAAACTACTCAAACAGTAGAAAGAAAAATAGAAGAAATGAGGATAAGAGTTGGAGGAAGATGGCAGAATGGGAGGTCACTCTGATAACTTTCTCCCATGTACACACCAAGGAAGCAACCACAATACAACCAACTCTGCAAATGAGATGGAGACTGCAGAACACACCATCTATGCCTGGTGAGCAAGAGAAGACCACATTGAGAAGGGTACAAGGGAAAATCCACAACTGATCAGGATCCAAGCCTTTTCCCCATCCCAACCCACAAGTGGGAGGGAGAAGAGTAGAATGGGAGGGAATAAAAGCTCAGGAACCTGGCATGCCTGGCTCTGGGGATCTGCTCTGGAAAGATGCATTGGGCACTGAAGATTGATGGGGCTGAACAACAGGTAAAGTTGGAGTACTGCAGGGGGCCAAGTCTCTGGTCACTTGTGGAGGACAAGTGTGGTCTGTCAATCCCTCTGAGGGGCAATTTTAAAGATTTGCTAGCCTTGGAAAGCATGCCAGAGGGGCAGGGGCCTGAGTGAGCTCTCTATGGAGGAGAAAGGGCAAGTGGACAACACTTTTCCAACCTTCCCTCAGTCGAACTGGCCAGACACTTGGAGGAGCCAGTTGTGAAACTCTCCACCTATCCCCTTGGCTCAACCCCATTATCCCCCTGCAGATCTGCCTGACTGAACAGGTAGAGGGCAGCCCCACCCACAGTGCATACCAGCAGAAATGCCAGACATCACACACACATGCGTGCGCACACACACACACACACACACAAATGGCAGTAGTGGGGATCTGCCATTGCTGGCAGTCAGGCAGAAGGCAGGCCCCACCCACAGCCCACCAATATTAGTCACCAGCTCAGCTGTAGCAAAGAACCAGGCTCTGGTGAGCAAGAGGTTTTGCATTTCTGGGCACTACAGGATACATATTGCATTAAGCCATTACTTTCAAGACCAGGAGGCACAGCTGATCTATATAATACAAAGGAAGAAACACACTAACCCAGACAAAATAAGGAGGCAGAGAAAAATACTCCAAACAAAAGAACAAGACAAAACACCAGAAAA